GGCATGGGAATATCATGGGATCTAGGTCCAGCATATGGGATATGACACTTGGTCCAAGGTTACACAGGATGGAACTCCATGCTTGGAGAATACATGGAGCAGGAACAAATAAGCAAGGTCTGGAGAGGTGATAGTATCATGAGTCAGAATGAATATTGCTTGCTTGGATAAATGATCTATGATAATGAGCATGGCTAAGCCAGATGAGTCCAGAAGTTGTTCAATGAAATCCATGGACATGGAATTCCAAGGCTTTTCTCAAATAAGGAGTTGTTTGGGCAATCCATATGGTTTGTGTCTCAGAGCTTTGGCTCAGGCACAGATAGTGCAGGATCTGGCATAAACCTTGACATAGGTGCACATTCTGGACCAGGTATATTCATGTTGGATGAGTTCTAGCATCTGGTTCTGACCAAAACGACTGGATAGAGGATGGTTGTGAGTGTTTCATAGAACATGAAGTCAGAGATTATTAGATTCTGGGACATATATGTGATTGTTGCAACAGAGGAAATGACTATTATCCACAGTCCATCTATGGTCCTGAGTTTTCCAGGATAAAAATAAATGATGAGATTGAACTGGTGGAGGAATTTTAACTGGTGTGCCTGTTGGCAAGAGAGGAGTTTGGTGGTTGTGAATTACTCAAGATTCTTGTGGTCCATAATGATGTCAATAGGCTTAGATGAGCCTTCTAGGTAGTGTCACCAGGTCTAGAAAACTTCATGTATAGCTAGGAGTTCCTTGTTGTGAGTATCATCATTGAGTTCTGGAGCAGACAGTGTTCTGGAATAGAATGTTACCAGACAAAGCTCTGAGTCCCAACATACAATGGACAGTATTCTGACAATAGCATAGTCAGAGATATCAGTTTCAACAACAATAGGAACATCCAGCATCCAGTGTGTTAGCACTGGAGTGGAAGTGAAAGCTTTCTTGAGTCCTTCAAATGATTTCTGGCAATCCTGGGAAAAGTCCCAGGGAACATCCTTGCATGTAAGTTGGGTGAGTGAAACTACAATGTCCAAGTAGTTGAAGATAAAATGATGATAGAAGCCCAAGCTGAGGCCAAGCCCTTTGGATCCATGACCCTTTGAGTATGACCTTAACATATACCTGCTATCATCTGGATACAGTACTAGATCTGCATTCTCACACACATCTAGGAGTGCCAGCACAAGTGGATCTAGGTTTGGATTGATTCCCAAGTGTCTGCAAGCTTCAAGCATGATGGAAGCAATATAGCACATAATCATTTATATATCTTTGACAATAGATTTGGTAAGGAAAAGTGTTATTTGATGAGAGGTAAGCCACTTTACATACAGTGGCTCAAAAAAGTGTCTTGATGTTTGTGACTTTTCATGTAATTGCTTCATTATGAGCCAGGGCATGAGAATATGACTAAGCCATAGGGAGGTGTGTGAAAGCTCTGCTTCTAAGCTTCATGTTTGATTCCTATAGCATGGAAATATTATGTCATTGAGTGAAGATATGGTTAATTTAATTTGGTGACTCATTGAGGCACTTTTTTGACTTTCAGTTTGGCTAACACAATCTCTATAATTCTAGTACTTGGTGTTTCCTCCTGTTGCTCTAATTACTTCCACCACTGTTCTATGCATACTATCTATCAATTTGAGGCATTCCTCATCAATAATCTTGCCCCACTCTGCTGCAACTCTCTCCCACAGCTGAAATAACCCCTATTGAGGATCTTGATAGACTGCAAGTGATATCTTGAGTAATTGCCAGGGCTGTTTAGGGTTGAGGTCTAAGGACTGGACTTGCCATGATAGAACACTGATACCATAGTTTTCAAACCATTTTATGCTCAACTTGAAGTATGCTTAGGGTCATTGTCTTGTTAGAAGGTAATGTCTTCTTTATTAATTCTTGATTCTTGCATGCTTCTGAGCAGATAGTTTTCCAAAATTGAAATGTGCTGCTCTGCATTCATCCTCCCCCCCACCTCACAGAGAATTCCTACTCCATTCCACCTCATACAACACCATACCATTAAGTCTCTTACTTTACATACTTTAGTGTTTTTGTCATATCCCACAATCCGGACCCACGTTCCATCATATTCCCACACCTTCCGAGCCTACATCCAGACCCCACTTCATATCCAGCTCATTCCCAGATCCCCTTCCACTGTGCTCCACACCTCAGCAGGATCAACTACACTCCGGATTTACCCCTGAGCTCTGGACCATCAGATCTCCACTGCTAGCCTGATCCATACCCCCCTGTCCCATCCACCCTATACACACTCCATCCAGCAAGACATCTGAACTTCACCTCATCTCGGATTCTGGACTATATCCACCTTCTCATATTCCGGTCCTGTATCCACCTTGTCTTCTGGATCCCCAGATCTCTGGACCTCCGGATATTAATGCTGGACCTATTCCCACCCTCTGTCTGATATCCTGTGCCTATCCCCATTTAGGCATCTCTACCTTTCCAGCTTTCGGTTACCTCTTCTTCCGTCTTGCTTATTGATCCTTGTACGAGTCTTCATCTCTGAGTTCATTTACTTATGTTCCATCTTACTTACTAATGTGTTTCCACATGCTCATACATAGCCCTGCTCCTTTGCTTATTGATCCCCTCAGATATTCTCCAGTATATAACCCCTGTAGATACTCCTGTAGTTCCTTAGTTTGAATATCAACTTAGACTTGCCCAATCCTCTCTCAGACTTTGGTCCTCCTAAGTCTGTCCTACCCATCAGGCCTAGGGATTGACTCCCTAGGCCAGAGCTCCGCCTTTCTGGCACTTACCCTCTTTCCGGACTTAGGTCCAATCCCTGTCTCTCCAACTCTACCTTAGGGTAGTCTACCTCTGTTTGCTTCTACATTGGACTTTGTCCAATGTAGCCCCTATTCCTTCCAGACCTCTGGACCTCCTGTCCCTTGTACCTCAAGGCATCCTGTCCTTTGGACGTTCCACCCTCTGTACCTTTGGATATTCCACCCTCCTAACCCTCAGACATCCTGCCCTCTGTACCTCCGGACATCCTGTCCTTCTGTCCTCCATCATCCTGCCCTCCTATCCTCCTGTCCTCCTGTCCTCCTGTCCTTCTGTCCTCCATCATCCTGCCCTCCTATCCTCCTGTCCTCCTGTCCTCCTGTCCTCCTGTCCTCCTGTCCTCCTGTCCTCCTGTCCTCCTGTCCTCTGGACCTTCGGACCTCCTATCCTTCCATCCTGTTTCCTGTAGAAGTATTACCTTGCAGTGGGAACTCTCCTGAGCACTTCCTGCATCCCTCCAGAACTCTCCCGGGCTCCTCTGGATGTTTCCCGGGCTCCTCCAGAAGTCCTCTAGCGCTCTCCAGCAGAGTAGCCAGCCTCCAGAAGTCCTCCAGACTTTGTTAGACCATCATCAGACTTCCTCCAAAATGAAGGGCACATACTTGGGTAAGGGGCACAGTGTACAAGCTGAGGCCAAGCCCCTCTGAGTCAGTCTCTCTCCCCCTTGAGCAACATGGTTCTTAACAGTTTTCTTGAGTTTTTTTGTTCTAGTAGTTCTTCTGCCTTTCATCACATATATTCCTAGCCATCTGACCCCATCCTATTGATTTTTGTCTCATCTGACCAGGTAGCCCTATTCCAGTCCTCAACAATCCAATATTGAGACTTTAAAGCCAAGGCTGGTCTCCTCCTTCTATAGGCTGAAGATAGGAAAGACTTTTTCTGCCTGTTTACAGCTTTAAGATTGGCTGCCTTAAAAGTATTCTTGACTATTTGAGTGGAGAGAGCAGTGTAAATGATGTAATTAATAAATTTGGTGGCTTGAGTAGCATTGGCAGCCTGCCTAGTTAGAATATTATAAACAAGAGATTTTTTGTTATATGGTGTAAGCTTGAAAGGACAATCTAGTTTGATATTTTTCTTATCTGGCATGACTTTTTTATAATCCTAATGATAGTAACCCTGCTCAGACCAGTTTTGGTAGCAATCTGCCTGGTATACAGATTAGAAGAGCTGAGGATAATAATAGGGGCTATTTCAGCTGTGGGAGAGAGTTGCAGCAGAGTGGGGCAAGATTATTGATGAGGAATGCCTCAAATTGATAGATAGTATGCATAGAACAGTGGTGGAAGTAATTAGAGCAACAGGAGGAAACACCAAGTACTAGAATTATAGAGATTGTGTTAGCCAAACTGAAAGTCAAAAAAGTGTCTCAATGAGTCACCAAATTAAATTAACCATATCTTCACTTAATGACATAATATTTCCACGCTATAGGAATCAAACATGAAGCTTAGAAGCAGAGCTTTCCCATACCTCCCTATGGCTTAGTCATATTCTCATGCCCTGGCTCATAATGAAGCAATTACATGAAAAGTCACAAACATTGAGACACTTTTTTGAGCCACTGTATAGTAAGTGGTGCAATTCTTCTCATGATGTGTATTGGTGTATCATATACTAACTTGCAATACCTTTTATTTGTTTAATTCATGGTGAGTCACTACCAGTCTGAGTCATTTTCTATGTAGTATTCATGAGATCCTCATTACTCCTTGTGTTTTACAGCACCCATGAGCCCATAACTCCCCAAATGACACTTGTAAGGTGGAGTGGGGTGATGTTGTCTTGCTGTAGGAGAACCCTTCCCTCTAATTAGGAGGCATCCTCTAGTTGTAGAGGCTGTGGTGCTGAGGTGATGACATACCTAACCTGTCAATGTCTTGATCTGATGAGTGCATCAGGAAAATGTGCTATGGCTATATAGCAATCTATAGCACTATAAGGTGCTATATAGGGGCCATAGGCCTATAGCTCATATAACCAAGTGGCCAATTGTGTAGGCTAGTTACAGCAATATATAGTGTGCTATAGTGTTATACAGTAGTATGGTAACTACATCCTGCTATCATAGATGACCAACATGAATCCCATTTCAAGCTATCTTGGTAGCTACTGCCCAGAGCAAATCAAACATTGCAGTTGCTCCTCGCCCACATAGGTCAGCTGCTGCGAAGTCCTACATGCATGACCACAGTGATGGCGCAGAGAGTTCACCCTCTGACAGCAACTGGGCTGCAGATGAAGAAAAGCGCAAAAAAGCTGCGCGTCCTTCTGCCATTGACAGTGACAACAACGGCAATGATCTCCCTCCATCTCCACTCTGATTGACCCATGAAGGAAAAGGAAAAGCCAAAGCCAAGGCGTTTGATGAGGGTGACAATGACAAGCAGGACTATAATGAGGAACAGGAGGTCAATGAGGATAAGAGTGATGAAGGCCCTGCCAAGAAGGGAAGGCTGCCATTGGAAGCAGTCTCCAAGGTGCAGGAACTTGGGCAAACCACCATCGAAGCAGCAAAAGCATTAGGGATAGAATATGGCAAAAGTGCGAGGGTGATCCTCATTGAGGCAGGGCTGGCCATGAAGGCAACGCACAAGGAGTCTCCTTGGAATCAGCACCAAATGTGGTTCAAGACTTTTAGCCCCCCCTCTCAAGAACGTATGTATATTCCTTTGTGGGTGTGCGTGGTATGCTTACATTCTTTGCAGAGGATATCAAAGCTTGGAAGGAGGAGCAAGCAGCACACTACAAGGCCCATCCATACAAAGACCCCAAACACACAGCGTTGTGGCAGAAGATTCAGGAGTATTGGGATGGTTCACTTGCTGGTGCAACTGAGGACTTGATATTGCGATCTGCTAGTTCTCTGATGCTGCGCGTTCGTGATGATTTTTCAAAAGTGGTGAGTCTTGCATTAATAGGACATTGATGGAGAAACTAAGTATTACACAGGCTGGTTACTGGTACCGCACCCATGGTATTCATATTTCTGGTGTTGCAATATTTCCTGGTCATGAGGATGCTGGCCACCAAGCATCAGGGTTTTTCTCTGGGTCTGATATCATGAAGGACATCATCAATGCATGACAACTTGACATCAGTCGTATCTTGGATGAGCTCACAACCATACTCAAGTGTGTTTTCTGACAATACTGTCGGATATTGCTCACTTCATTATAGGTACAAAGACTTAGAGGCTGCACAAGCAGAAGGGATATCTTTTAGTTTTCTCCCTCGCTCTACTGCTGTCCCAAATGGCATGCTTTTGTGCAACGGCAAGTCTGCTAGGGACAGGAACAGAAAAGTCACACCAATGATCATCAGCGAGAAGTTTGGTATGTTTTATTTTATTTTATTGTGTCACTAATTTACTGACGGTGTGTCTCATTGGTAGCTGAAGCTGGCCATCCGCTCAAAACCTCGAACAACAGGTGGTTGGACATGCTCAATACTCTTTATGTTGAGCAGCTGTTCATCCTTAACTGGCCCACCACTGTACTGCCCCCCGGCCCCGATTTTGATCTCAAAGCATTGTCAGCAAGCCAGTTGTGTGCACTGGTAGTTCCTTACCTGAGGATGCATCTTGGGGCAATGTACGAGGTTGACTTAGGTCAAGATGATGAGGACAATGATAGTGAGGCAGAAACCGCAAAGACAAAGAAGTGTAAGGGTAAATCCAAGAAGTTGAACGACAACAGAAGGATGAAGGGTACAATAGTAGAGGAGCCAGACATTGTGTTGTCCATTAGAGAGTGGTCTGAGTGTATGTTTTTAGTTGTCTCTTTCATGCATGCACTAATGATACTACAGTTGATGTTGAACATTTAGAGTCTCAGTCTCCCTCAATGTATTCGATCCCCTTGGTCATCGACATGAACAGCAAGGTCCTCTGTGAGCTTCAGGACTCAGTCAAGTTTTTCAAGGACTTCCCCCTCCCAGATCAAGCTAGTACCAAGCAGGTAACTGAAGAGCTCCCTTCATCTGACCAAGAAGCTGTGCACTCGACTCCAGTAGCTTTGCACCCAACCCAGGTGGCTTCACGCCCAACCCAGGTACATAGAACGTATCGGAGGTGACTACACCGGACGAGAAACGGATGGGCAGATCTATAGCTTCGGAAATGGTTGCATTACAAGTACCATCAAACAAACAGAGTGGAATTGGAGGAATTGCATAGGTAGGTAAATTATTTTCACGGATGAAGTCGGATTCTATGAAACAATGGGAGGAACCACAATCTACAAGAGCTGGGAAGTCAGAAATATCGGAATACGTAGGGATGGAAACATATGGACAGAGAGAGTTCAGATTGGACAAGGAAACAGCATTGAGTCATAGCTCCATTGCACAGGTTGAGTCAACACGACCCTCATCCCATGCGGAGTCAGGAGGGTCATGGATTATTTTTTCGCCTCGTCTGAGGCATCCAGTTTGGTTTCTGGATTGACTGTAGCTGCACAACCTTTGGTAGCACACAAAGTCGACTTGGTGCAGTCCCAAGCAGTATGCCCAGGTCCACCACAGAACAGGCAGAGCTTCCTGTCCAGCCTTCTCTGACGTTCTTCGGATGTAAGCTTTCCATCCTTACCCAACTTGTTGTTAAGGTCCAGAGCTTTAGAAGCGGAGGTAGTGGACGAAGTCGTCTTTCCAGATTTGTTGTTTCCAGAGGAAGTGCTTCCGGATCCAGACGTGTTGGTGTTGGTCCATTCAGAAGACTTGGCAGGAGGATTGGGTGCGGAGGATTTGGTTTCATGGGAGATCTCTCCCTTGCGTTCCCAATAGCGGGCATCAATGGTCTGCACAAGGGTTTTGTATTCCAAGAGTGTGCCCGGTTTCCCCATGCAACTGATTTCATCCTTGATATGAGCAGGAAGTCCGTTATAGAATTGTTGGCATAGGGCTCCGTCACCCCATCCGCGGACCTGAGAGGCAAGTCATTGGAATTCTACAATGTACTTGTTGATGCGCTGTCCATTGTGCATGTTGAGTTGTTTGAGCTGCATTTCCGCATCTCTGGAAGGGTTGTGAGGTCCGAAATTGGTCTGGGGTTCAAGCATGAACTCGGAATAGTCATCCATCCAGTCTGGATGATCAGTATGTTTGTCGGAAAGGAGGTTGGGTTCGAACCACTCAAGGGCCATTCCTTTGAGGTAGGATTGGGTGAAATTGACTTTAGACCTTCCAGTACGGAAAGTGTTGGGTTTGCTCTGGAAGTTAAGCTCGCACTGGACAAAGAATGCACGAAGTGTCTGGGGCTCGGTGCCATCAAAGACATCCAGCTCCCGGACCTTGACTTTAGGATCTTCAGGGAGGGTGGTGCGATGATTGTTTCGGGCGAGATTGTTGATAGCTCTGGATAGGAGTACCATAACGCGATCCTGTGGACCCAGGCCATCGTCTCTATCATCATCGTCTTCATCATCCAGATCATCGTCCGGATTTCCACCATTACCATCCAGCGGGTTTCCGCCAGGGGTATCATGATCAACTTCATCGTCATCCGGATCCCTTTGGCCCAGAGGGGCTAGGGCTGGAGTCTGTGTAGGGGTCTCCGGATGTTGACGACTCAGAAGCTCCGAAATGCTTCCAGCAGTAGCATGCTGACTAACGCAACGCTGCGAGAAGCTATTGAAGGTGTCGATGATAGGAGTAGAATCACGGTGGGCGGATACTAATCTGGCCACTCGGAGAGTGTTTGCAGTTTTGGTTGGAGCCATAGGAAGTGTAAGTATACTCAGTAAGGTGTGAGTTCGAATATACTGTTAAGGTCGTACTCAAAGGGTAACTGGATCTGAAGGGCTTTGGCCTCAGCTCATGTGCTGTGCCCCTTACCCAAGTATTGCCCCTTATTTCAGGAAGGCAATGTTATGAACTTGGATAGAACATTGTTCCAATAAAGGAATCAGGATCAAGGTCGATCAAGGACTAAGCCTTATCAAGTCAATGCCTCCCTCAGGAGCGATCACTTAGACTCCCGCAGGATCTAAGGTTCAAATGGGACAATGGCTAGCCTCCTTCCCAAGGAGCTAGAGTTCAAGTATCAGAGAGAACCGAGTAGATTCAAGTTAGAGAAAATACAAGTGGTAACTAGGGTTTATATACATAAAGGAATTGTGCACAGACCAGGCTGGGTAAAGGGTAACAGTTACTAAGAAAGGAAGGTTCATGGGAAAACAAGGTGTGAGTCAGAGATAAGGAAGACCATGAGGGAACAGTGCAGTGAAAAGGAAGCATTTAGAAGTACAGCCATATAGGAGTCCACAGTGATGATGGGAAAAAGAGTGGGGCACTGTAACATTACCCCCCTGTCAATGTCTAAAGTCACCAACTTTAGTCACTAAGATTCTGATAGTTGTTAGGGTTGAAGTCAGTGTCTTTCACAAACTGCTTCTCATGCTCCTCTTGTTCAAGATCTTTTCTATCTTCATAGATCTTAAGCTGATGATGGAAGGCCCATGAGCCTGGTTTGGCATTAATGATACAACATCCTTGAAGGGTAGGACAGTAGGCAGTAAGATGTTTGGGAGCATGGTGGTGGCATTCTTGGCAGAAATAGCGAGGGCAGTGGATTTGACGATGTCCTTCCTGCTGGCAGTATTGGCAAATGATGTCATAATAGTCAACACCATTTCTGTCACATCGAAAAGTTTCTTCAGATGGAGCACGAGAATCGGAGGAGGAGGCAGGTTTGTCTTCATCAACAGTGATGGGTGGAGCAGGGGACGGTGTCATGGGACGAGAGAGGCCTATTCCAAAGGCAACAGTGTTTCTTTTCTTACCATGAGCATGGTGTGGGTTTCCTGCGGAGCGAACTGCGAGCTGAGAAGGAGCAGGGACAGGGGTGTCATCATCAGAAGATTCTGACGGGGATCTTGGTCATATGATAAATGATGGAATGTTTGGTAGTTTCTTCAGCAGGGGCTGCGATGGTATGGGCATAGCTAGACGCCAGGTCTGCACTGCAGTGGATGGTCATCAAAGAAAGGGAATCAATATCTTCAGAGAAGAAATGGTCTAAAGGTAAAACACAAGGAAGAGAAGAAAGGGTTGATTCAACAAGAGCTCACTTGTGGTGAAGTTTGAGCTGAGAATGATGGAGTTCAAGGGAAGAGTTCGAAGATCGTGAAGAAGGCATATTCTGGGATCAGGTTTCTAGGTAAGGAGTCGAGAGAGTCAAAGGCGGTCTTTATAGGTTTTGAGGATTTCCTGGGCATTGTCTAATTCCTTTTCAGGGAGCCAGGAGTTATCTGAAGAAGGGTAACCCTTCCATGATACGAGGAAGTGTTGTTTTCCTTTTACGTTTCCCTTATGGGCGAGAACAGCTTCTATTTTGTATTCTTCTTGTCCATTGATGATGTCAGGAGGGGGTTCAGTGTGGTTTGGGCCATGAACTTCTGTTTCCCGATAGGAGGATAACTCAGAAGTGTGAAAGACAGGGTGTGATTTCCAGGAGGCAGGGAGTCAAATCTTGAATGTGATAGGGGAGAGAACAGCTTCTACCATGAAAGGGCCGTAGCATTTAGGGGCAAGCTTCTTTGAGGGTAGTTCGGTGATAAGGTTCTTTGCTGATAACCAAACTTTCTCACCAATCTTCCAGGGTTCGAACTTCTTTCCAAAGGTCCGATCAGACATGTATTGCATGGCAAGATTGTGACAAGAGATGGCTTCTTCTTGGATCTTCTGAAGATATTTGACTCGATCTTCTGCTGCAGGGACGGCGGAGTTTGGGGAATGTAGGGGATTCCTCAGGGTTCATAACCCATCATGAGGTGGAAAGGGGAGACATTGCGGGCATCATGTTTTCAGTGATTGTGGACAAATTTGGCCATGGGTAGATGCTTTACCCAATCAAGAGGGGTGGAGTGGCAATAGATGCGAAGGTAAGTTTCAAGTTCCTGATTCAGACGTTCAGTCTGTCCATCAGTTTGCAGGTGGTAGGCAGTGGAAAGTGCGACTTCATAGTCTAGGAGTCTTCCGAGTTCTTTGGCAAATTTAGAGGCAAATTGGGGTCCTCTGTCGGAGATGATCTTGTCATAGAGTCCAAATCTGAGAAAGACTTTCTTGAAAAAGAGTTGGGCGACTCCTTCTGATGTAATGGTTTTCTTGCATGGTGAGAGAATTACCCCCTTCATAAGGCCATGGTCTACCACAACCATAACCGAATCAAAACTGCCTGATTCAGGCAAGTCAGTGATTAGATCTATGGAGATCTGTGAGAAGGGGTGAAGCGCAGAGGAAGGAATAGGGTTCAGGGGTGGAGTGGAAGGGTGAGTGTCAGATTTCATTTGCTGACATAGGGTGCAACCCTCGACGTATTTGCGGATAAATGTGCCCATTCTGGGCCACCAATAATCTCATTTGACTAATTCTTCAGTCTTAAAGTGTCCTGGGTGTCTGGCGGTGGGATGATCATGGTGAAGGTGGAGAATGCGGTGTTGGAGGTGAATGGGGACATAAGCACAGGTTTTTATAAAACAGAGTGCCATCATCAAACTTCCAATCAGAGAGGGTGGATTTCATAGGAGGTGTGTTCAACCCATCAAGGGCTTGTTGTGCAGCAAGAATGACAGGATCAGAGAGGGGATTAGTGGTTTTCAGGGCATTGGCAAGGTCATTGTCAATAAGACGGGAAAACATGGTGTCTGGGAGAAGTGTGACATCGGAGTTA